GGGGAGGAGGAGGGAGAAGGGGAGGGGGAGGGGGAGGGGGCAGAGGGGGAGGAAGCAGCAGCAGCAGCTCTTTCCAAATGTGAGCTGTGCCCTCTGGAGTCTTCTGTCATGAGTAAAGGTTTCAGCCATTTAAAACCAGACAGACAATGCGAGAAACAGGAGGGATGCTGCCAGCACCCAGCAGCCGCCGCAGAGGGACTCAAGGCTGCCTTCGTAACGGGAGACTCGGGCTCTGCTGCAAGACACGCTTGCTTTTCCTTGCTGCGAACACGTCTTGCCCGCAGGACACAGAAACCAGCAGAGGAAAGCCCAAAGCCCGGATGTCATTAGAGCCCCTGGATGAGGGAGGAGTGTCCGCCACGCAGGGGGAGGAGGGGCCTCTCCCCGGGGCCCTCACCTCGGGGCTTGTGGCAGGGCACGGGCACCACGCACGCACCCCGGGGCCCTCACCTCGGTGCTTGTGGCAGGGGACGGGCACCACGCACGCACCCCGGGGCCCTCACCTCGGGGCTTGTGGCAGGGCGCGGGCACCACGCATGCACCCCGGGGCCCTCACCTCGGGGTTTGTGGCAGGGCACGGGCACCACGCAGTCCTCCTTGATGTGCGGCTTCAGCTGTGGGCTGCAGCCGCCCACGTGCTGGCCGCGGTGGCTGACGCACAGCACGACTCTGTAGCGCAGGCCTCGCCCGCAGGTCACCGTGCACTGCGGAGGGAAGAGCCGGGGGCTGTGAAGGGATCGGGCGTCCCACACAGGCCCAGGAGGGGTCACATTGCTTCTTACATGTAGCAGAAACACCAAACAATGAGTTCCGAGTTGCGAGAGCGAGATTCGTGTTTGCTCCTCTCTGCAAGTTTTTGTTTTTGGGGGGTCGTGGCGTGGGGCCAGGACTGGGGCTTGAACCCTCGGCCTCCTGCTCTTGGCTGCCTCACCCACAGCAGCACTCTGACACTCAAGCACACCACCAGTGCTGGAAATCACATTTCTAACGCTGCATCGGCACCTTCAGCCTTAATCCTCCGGCCCTGAGCGGCACGGCGCCCTCTTCAGCCCGGAGGGATCCGTCCTGGGCCCGGCTGTCTGCCCCGGCTCCGCCCAGCCTCCGGCCCTGAGCAGCACGGTGCCCTCCTCAGCCCGGAGGGATCTGTCCCGGGCCGGCTGTCTGCCCCGGCTCCGCCCAGCCTCCGGCCCTGAGCGGCATGGTGCCCTCCTCAGCCCGGAGGGATCCGTCCGGGCCGGCTGTCTGCCCCGGCTCCGCCCAGCCTCCGGCCCTGAGCGGCATGGCGCCCTCCTCAGCACGGAGGGATCCGTCCGGGCCGGCTGTCTGCCCCGGCTCCGCCCAGCCTCCGGCCCTGAGCGGCACGGCGCCCTCTTCAGCCCGGAGGGATCCGTCCCGGGCCGGCTGTCTGCCCCGGCTCCGCCCAGCCTCCGGCCCTGGGGTCTCCTGTTTGTGCACCACAAGGGCAGCAGCAGCTCCTCACACAGGTCCTCGGCAGGAATACCCCATGCCGACACCCCGCACGCGGCCTCTCCTCCACTCGCCCGCCTTCCAGATCATTCTGGAAGCATGGACTGTATCCAGCACGCTGTGCAGTCCACGCCGGGGCCCGGCGACACCCCAGGCTCTGTGGTTGCATGAGCAGCGCCTCACCTCAGACCAGTCCATGGCGACCCACTTGGGGCAGTCGAAGAGGTTGCAGGTCTGCATCACCTTGGGCTTGGGCGCGTACATGCACTTCCACTCCTCCACCTGCAGGACCTCGGCGTGCAGCGACTCCTCCACGCACACGAAGCTCCGCCGCTGGGTCCCGCCCCCGCAGGACACGGAGCATGCCGTCCAGGGGTTGTGCTCCCAGCTCAAAAACAAACAACCCACGCCTCACCTCACTCACCGGCATCCACCCGCCCCCGCGCGCCGAGACGCCAGGACAGGATCAGGCCAGGGAGCACCGATCCGGAGCCCAAAGACTCTGGCCCAGCGTCACGGGGCTTCACCGCGTTGGGACCCCAGGCTCCTGTAGTTCCCGCACCCCTCTCTCCTCCCCAGGCCACTGTGAGGATCAAGTCAACTGAAACATTCCTTGTAAGAGGGATGGAGCAGACTGCTGAGAACCACAGCAGAGTCAAAGTCAGAAAGGACCAAGGCGGCGTCTGGGCATCATATGCACGTTCTGATCAACGGCATGACTTCCAGCCCTGCGAGGAGGCCCAGCTGTCCAAGGGACGCTGGCATCTCCGGCTATGGGAAACACGGCTGCCACGGACAGCGCAGCCCCTCTGTCGCCTAGAAAGTCTTGCCCCCGAGCCCACCTTTTCCCGGGAGGCTGTGGCTGCTGCAGATACAGACGCTGAGCACACGCGTGCCACTCAGAGTACAAACACAAGACAGAACAGGAAACGCGTGACTCACCGGGGCAGGGGCTGGAAGTGGTCATAGGGCATGATCTCCTTAAATCCATCACTGCAAATGAGATGGGGGGGAGAACATTGAATTTAACAGGGCAACATGCATTTGACATTGCAAGAGACAAAGCTCCTTCAAGCTGGAAGCTAAAAATGTCAAGTGTGAGGAACTACTCCCCAAAATCCAGACAGCCAGGTGTGGTGGGGCATGTCTACCAGCCCAGCCTTTCAGAAGTCTGATTTCCAACTCCAGACAAAGACACAAACTGTCCCCAGTAGAACAGGAAAACACAGGAAACTAAACTGGTCCGTTCATGAACTAAAGAGCGGGGGTAGGAAATACCTTCATTTGGCTAAATCTACTCCTTTTCATCACCCTTATTCTGAATAAATCCTGAGAATACTTGCACAGTTTTCTGGAATTCGGCAGAACACCATTCATCTCACAGTCATCAGCCCCTGAGAGCTCGCGACTAATAATGGTGTTCAGGAGGTTATCAGTAATCACCTTCGGGGGGGGTTATCAGTAATTGCATTCAGGAGGTTATTGATAATTGTGCTCTAGAGGGCTGTTGTATGTATTTGGAAGGGTTACCGGAAGAGGCAGAATAGGGTAGGAAATGAGTCTGCTCTCAGGCGGCCGGGGCCAGCTGGGGAGTGTCAGATACGGGGCTGTTATTTTCAGATGCTGAAGCAGAGCCAGAAAGCTCCCGTGGGAATCCAAGTGAGCAGATCCTAAATTACCCAGCAAGACGGTTGATGCAAAGCGCTCTGCTTTTGTGTGAAAACATTTTGCTTCCTTCCACCATGATTTGTTTATACTGAATTGAACATGAGCACTTTCAAAAGTCGGAACCTTGTAGCAGGTGCCCCTGTTCAAAGGCTAAGATGGAGAGTGAAAGACAGGTATTTACGGATTGGACACCGTAGTGAATTAAGAGATCTTTAATACTGGACCACAAGAATTGCCCCCAAAGGCCCATTACAAAGCACTAGGGACCCTTCATCCACAGGGAGGGATTGCTCCAAATGACCAGATCAGCACAGACCCAGTGCTATGGTAAGACAGGTTTTCGAGACCTCCTTTCAACAGAAAAGGCAGAGGGTGGCTGAGCGCGGCCATCCAGCTATGGTGGAAAGCATAAATAGGTAGATCATGGTCCAGGCCGACACGGGGCCAAACGCGAACTCCTATCTCAAAACTAACCAGAGCAGAGAGGACCACAGGGGAAGTCCAGGTGGGAAAGCTGGCCACGTGAACACAGAGCCCCGAGTTCAAATCCCAGGGCCATCGTACACATAAATACACAAAGAAATGCAAGTAAACCAACAGGTGAGTGGGAGTCGGGGCGGGCGGCGCAGACCTGGACGGGCAGGGGTCCATGCCGCACTCCTTCAGCTTCGGCTTGGGCTTGACGTTCTCGGGGTAGTAGTGGCAGTAGTGGTCGGGAACCACTCTCCTCAAGCGGACGTCCACGCACTCGGCAGAGTTGAGCTGGTAGCCTGCGGGGGGGCGGGGAGGTAGGGGGAGGGTGGGGGGGATGCACACGCAGCGTGTGCAGCTCTGGCCGTACCCTGCTTTCTCGTTACACCCCGAAGGGAGGGACGTGACCTGCATCCCGGGGGGCCCCAGCTCCCCTGCGGTGTCAAGGGAGCCAGGCTCACAAGTGTCCGAGGGAAGACGGCTGGGGACTGGCGGGGCCCGGGGGCTGAGGTCCAGCTCTGCGGACCTGCCCCGGCTGCACCACCTCCCGTCCAGGTGCGGTGGGCGGAGCGTGGACACAGAGGGAACTCGGGAGTGGGTTGATCCCATCCGTGTATGACACACGCGTGTGAAACCCCTCGGACATGAGAACCATCAGGCCGCCGGGGTGGGGGGCGGCCACACCAAAACCCCGACACCGCACACGCGTGATGTCTAGGTGTTCATGGGGAAGCCAGCTCACCTCCTCCACACGTCACGGTGCAGGGGAAAAAGTCGGTCTGTCTCCACTGGTGACTGATGGGCTGGTAAAAGAAGAACTGGACGGTGCTGTCCTTGGCCACTGTGTACCTGGTCTGGACAGAGAGAACCGTGAGGCCGTGTTTGTATTTGCACACGCGTGTACCTGGCTGCACAGAGAGAACCGTGAGGCCGTGTTTGCACGTGTGAACCACGCTTTCCACACCTTCAAAATGAAATACATCTTCTCCCACTGCAGGCGACCCCAAGTGGGTCCACTGAACCCAGACGCCAGGACCCCGGGGGTGGAGATGTGAGGGCCCCGAGTCCTCATTCCAGAAAAATCCACGCCTGTGAGCAGATTCACATGAAGGCATGTGGATTTGTTTGTGGACTTATTTAGCCTTTTTCTTTCCTCTCATATGTGATCTTCTTGAGCAAGCGAGGGTGAGGCTCAGCATGGGCTTTTCCGTGGCGTGGTACCAGCGGGCATCCTTGCGTGTTATCAGAGTAACGTCTTTAAGCCGCTCTCTGGAAAACCACCCCCAGGCCCAGGAGGAGAAAGTCGCTGGGAGCCGGGCTTGCGTGTGAACGTGTGCAGTGGCGTCAG